TGAATAAACAATTTTCAGAAGTAACAAATTTCGTTTTAAAGTATTGAAATGTCATTTTCAAGAGCTCTCTCTCATGCCATTGACTTCTCACTTCTCATGCAATACAGCAGATTTTATATAGTTTCACGTAAACGTCTGATCCCAACTCCGTCGAAGCTAGATTAGAAGCTAGACTAGATTAGATACATAGCAATAGCTATATAGATTCCATTTTCAAGGGTGAGTCTCAGGGATAAGTTTTAGAAGACTCAAAGGAGATTTTCAGACAAACTTGCGCACGATCTTGCGTGAAATCAAATATCTATCCCCCAGCGATAGTCTGAACGCGCCTTAAACTGGTAACACCGTCTCCATTCGGCCTTCGACGGTCGAACTAAGCGACCACGACGGCGTCACATTGACAAATAATATTGATTGCCATTATTGACGACCGTAAGTGATTGCCGTAATTAATAAAGCGTCGTGTTTATCACTTCAAATGTTATAGGTCACACACGAGCACACCTAGTGGTGACGAAGAGCGCGGCAATTTAGACCGAAACACGTCGGCACACGGTGTTGTGTCGTTTCGCGCGTTGCTAAATAAAATCTTACACCGTTCCCGATAATCGGGAATGTCTCGAATTAAATACTTGTCATCGTTTGATGCGACGTATTCGACTGACAAATTGTGTATTGAACGCTTTCGAAAAGACTACCCCGATAGAACGAATTGTGCTGATCGACTATGCAGCGATAAGTTTGTAATAACCCACTGAAGTAAATACACCACACATTTTTCAAGCGACTTCTAAAGGAAGTTCATTCTCAATTCGAATGTATTTTTCTTTTTGTTTCTCAGAACTTTTGTCTGAGAGAACCGATTTTGATGATTATTTTCATTTGAAAGCTGCTGTCCCATATTCATTTCATTGGTATTGGATCTTGCGCTCCGGAGATACTTAGGGAACTGCTAAAAATCAATTATAAAATGAAAACAGAGCAAGATATTTGAAGTCGGTTTTGTTTTTCGTTAGTAAAAAAATGGTTCTTCTTTATTTACTAACAAAATCTCAAAAAATTAAGTAATTAGGATCCGTAAATGAAACATGGTTTTCTAGCGGAAATAAAACAATAATTCCTTTACACCATCACAGAACAAAGAAACAATTTTGTCATGAATGCTAATTAAAACTAAATTAAAATTACAATACATTTTACTCAAAACCACTCTAACCGCTTGTCAAATAAGTAATTTTTGAATAATTCGAAGTAATGTAGCTCTAATTAATTTACTCGAATCAGAACACATTCTATAAATCGCAATTTCACACTAATGAATACGGAATAAATATTAAACCCTTTATCAGGACACAACAGTAGTTGCTGATTTATCTCTGTTATTATGCAAGTAAAGCTAATTCGTTAATGTAAATGATGCATAATAATTTTAATGGTTGATATAACGACCGCAGGGTTGGACTCAAAGTCATTAAAATATGATATGTTTATTATTGTCAAGTTTTTATCTTTTTTTCTTTATTATTTCATTCATCGTTACAATAGCCTAATATTCACTGTCAGTTAATTATCAACGATTGTTTGTTCTTTTTTTAAGTTAATATAATTAATATATAATAGTTAATGCTGCTATAACGAGATGAAATAAAAGCATTAACTATTATATTATTAAATAAAAATTTAATAATATAATAGTTAACGCTGCTATAACGACATGAAATAAATGGCCCAATTTTTATAACAATACATATCTATTTTAGCATAACATATCATAAGATTCAATATTATGCATTTAGATATTATTTCAATATTACATGCATTAAGTAAGGCTCTTTTTTTAAGCCTGAATTATAGAGTAATTTGATAATTTTGGATTTTAGAGTAATTTGAGAGTGAGGACATTGTTTTCTAAACCCTGACTAAGCAATGATGCAATATATTCCAAAGGTTTCAAATTTCAATACCTTTGTGTTATAACAACTACTATTGAAAACAATACAAAAATCACACATTTGTAATATAGATCCATCTATAAGTTTGTCCGTACTGTACGTATCAACTATATTCAAGCCTCATTCGAGCCATAGACGAAACTATATTCATAGGTGCATATGTTAACACAGGAATTTTTTTACGACCGGCCACTTCCCCGAGGTCAACCCTCTTCATCATCATCATCATCATCATCATCATATCAGCCGTAGGACGTCCACTGCTGAACATAGGCCTCTCCCATTGACTTCCACTTCGACCGGTCGTTAGCGGCCTGCATCCAACGCGTCTCTGCGATCTTAGCTAGGTCGTCCGTCCACCTTGTGGGAGGCCTTCCTACGCTGCGCTTGCCGTCACGTTGTCTCCACTCGAGAACCTTTTAGAAAAAATAATACCCATCATCCTTCATGAAATGTCGCTCGCTGAAATTCCATAGAGTTACTTGTTCGCCAAACTCTACAATAAATATAACGAAGCGTTATTACGACGTCAACGAGCCAAAAAAACTGGCACTGTTTAATGTTCTTATCTGAATTGTACCCAGTCGAGCGCTACAAGGGCGCAGTGCGAGAGTGAATTAATAAAGAAAATAGCTATATAAGAACAGCAAAATGACTAAATAGGCTGACCATAATCAATGACAAAAACGGTTGTCCCATGTGTGATTTACAAATCAACGACAAAATATTCAACTCGCAATAGGAAACACGTCGCAATTTCAGTCATCGACCATAATAATTTAAAAAAAGAAGCGTAGCAATACAAAGAAACAACGCGTAAGCGCCTCTCGTATCTCCGTATACACACTGGAGGCGTTTAAACTGCAAAATTTGAGAACCAAAATGAGCATGCAACATGAACTAGGAAACACGTCGAAGTTTCACTCATCGACCACTCTTGATAAATAAATAATAGACAGGTCCGCCCTCATTAACGAAAAACAAAAAGGACTCCAAATATCTCGCTCTGTATTCAAAAATATCTAGCTGCTGCCCGCGACTACGTCTGTGTAGACGGATGAAAATTTAGGGTTTTATGTATTTTTGTATGCTATATCATTAAAAAATAAAAACAAAAAATTTTATATAGAAAATAAAAAATAGGGGTGGACCACCCTTAATATTTAGGGGGATGAAAAATAGATGTTGTCCGATTCTCTACCCTAGCCGATATGCACATAAAATTCCATAAAAATCGGTAGAGCCGTTTCGGGGGAGTTCAATTACAAACACCGTGACACGAGAATTTTATATATTAGATTTTCATGAGTTCCCTTCGTATCTCCGGAGCCCAAGATCCAATACCGATGAAATTAATATGGGACCACATGGGAAGCACCAGCTTTCAAATAAATAAAGAATCATGAAAATCGGTGCACCCAGTCGAAAGTTATGAGGTAGCAAACATAAAAAAACAGTCGAATTGAGAACCTCCCTTTTTGAAGGCGGTTGAAAATAAAACCAAATAGAAAGAAACATCGCGAGAATGGTACGAAGACACAATAGCGGTTCAAAGTGCAAACTTTGGGAATCGCTGCCCGCTGCCGCAATACACAATTACCGATCGGCGGAGGTCAATCCGCTTGGCGATACCATCTCACCCCGTGCGGTGCTTATCTGCCGCGATGAAATTAATTCCGCTTACCGCCAAACCACCTGATGCCGTTCTCTTACATCGGATGAATTGCAGATTCGTGAAAGTAGGCCAACTCGTCAACGTTTCTGATCGCGACCCGGTATTTGGATGGAGCCACTGTTCACGAACTGGCTGATCCGACCGACTGAGAAGACCGGCGTAAGTTGAAGTCATACTTGTGTGTTTCGCCTGGTGAGTGAGGTAGCCGGTGTTTCGGTGCGCGAATAGGTATTTATAAAGGAGTCGCAACGGTCTCCGCTGTTCACGAATGGGCAGGCCCGTCCGGGGAAGTACCAGGACCTTACAGAAGACCGGCGTGAAGTGGGAGTCATACTTCTGCGTTTCGTCTGGTGAGTGAGGTGAGGTGCCCACTTTATCAAGAGGTGGAAACGCATCTGCAACCCTACGGGTGATGCGAATGTCCATGGGCGATGGTTTTCAATTAACACCAAGTTAACCGCTAGCTCTTTCGCTGTGTTCTTACGAGATAAAAATCAAATCATATAGCATTTGTCAATTATTAACATAGAAAACGTAGTCTGGTAGTCTTGAGAGTTACTGGGATAGTTGTACAAAACTCGAAGTGTAAAAATTTTAAAACGGTTTGAACAATTTTTAATGCGCGTAAAGAAATTTTACTATAATTTAATTTAATTTAATTATATAAAACCTGTTACAGAAGTTTTAGAGATTCTTATAACATACATTCTTACAAAATGTGTAATAGTATCACAAAACTATATAATCAAAATGGTATTAGCTCGTAAGTAGGTCTATCGCTAATGCAACCAAAAGTTAGGGTCATTGTCAGATAACGAATGAAATATAAGACTAGTAACAAGTCTCTGAATTTCTAAGCAGGCTAACGGGCAGGTGAGAGAGATCACACACACATACGCATATCACACAAATACACAAACACATCCACACTCTCTTCCTCTCCAGTCTTACTTAATTCATTAAAAGCAAGCGCGATCGCTTTGAAATGGCGCCCAAGAGCATCATATTAACTATTAGTAGTTTTAAATAAGACCCGACCGTCGTTGTCCTGTAAACACGATTGAAATCCGAAAACAACTTTAAACTTTGAAATTTAAAAAAAAATGTAGTGTACCAAATTGTGAATCTAAACCATTCTCGAGTCGACTTGAAGACACACACAAAATTTCATTAAAATCGGTTCAGCCGTTGAAAAGGAGTTCAGTAACATACACACGAACAGAGGAATTAATATATAAAGATTTGCCTGATATCGCCCCTGATGACTCGAACCTTAACGAACCAGCAAACGTGCAACAAACCAATCCCCTCGCAAATGATTACGCCAAAACAATGTTCGAAGCCTATACCAATATTGTAATTGTCGCTCGCAAATGGACTACTCGTCCACTAACGCCGATGATATTAACCGTTCGATCGAAAGTGACCCGTATTGCAAGTACATAAAATCCAGTTCTGCACCGACGAGCCCGTGTGCCGACATGGAATACCTTAATCTATGGGATCCACTATTCAACCATAAAAAACAATATCATGTCGACTGGACGAACACGGACCTTAATTACAACAGCTTGCCGGTGCACAAAGAGAAATAAACCTTACACGCTCACCGATAGGGTTGAAAGCGATCGGACAAGCGGAGGCTGTATTAAGCTTTCTAAAAAAATGATACGGACGGCAATGTGGAATGTGGACCACGCGTGAGACGATAGTAAATTTGAAATTTGTAGCCAACGCTCCGCGTTATGAGCACTGACACAGTGTAGAGAGAGCAGAGTTCTCACTTCTTATAATTTACACAAAACACGCATTATATAATCAGTATTATAGACATGACCATTTCATTTCCTTCACTTTGTTATATTTATTTTTAATTAATCGATACTGTAATAATATTTATAATAATTATAAAATTATTATGTATAATTCAATTATTACATATACTAAATTAAACTATTTTTCGGATTCATCGTGTTTATTTTATTATACTTTGCTTTAACATAATTCCTTGTTTGTTTGTAAAAAATGTGTATCTGCTTTGTTGACACTGTGGCCTAAAAAGTTGTGACTTTAAGCCGCGGCCATTGAAGGTTCGAGGGCCCGCTTCGATTATTACGGCGACAAAAATATTGCCACATCCATAAATTGTACGTTACACAAAATTGCTTTATACACGCGAATGATTTATAAAACATGTTTAGTTATTTGTTACTGGCGATGGAAGTTGCGATGTCAGTCCGTACGTGTATGGTGCCTACGTAGGCGTGATATTGGTCAGCTAACCAAGAAATATAGTAGGTTCGATTCTCAATGAGGTAAAAGTGAAGTATTACAATTCTAAGCGTCCCATTTTCATCTTTTTCTAGATCAACAGCGGGTCATTTGATAAGCATTGTATTAGATACGAATAGGATGATTTTTAATAAATGTTGTTTTTTAGCTGGTGTGGTTGAACATCTTAACATACTCTACAAATACAAAGTTAAAAGGAACCACAAATTTCGGAACAATCAACCGTAATCATGAAGACACTTTCGGGTGGGAATCGACCCCACGGACCGCAGCACCACACCACAAGGCCGGTGACTAAGCATAGCGAGTCATCAAAACGTTTTACTCATTTTATCATCATTATCATCACCAGTCCACTGTGATGCCCTGGATATGCCTGTCCAGAGCAACGCTACAAGTCCAACACGTCACTTCCAAGGTGGCCACATCCACGGGAAATTGAACCGAGGACCTACACGTCGGCATCACCTTACTCATCACCTTATAGTCTTGAGACCGATTGCCGATTCAAATTAGAAAAAAAATATGTGTATACTTATCTACGAAAGTATAAGGTATACTTCTTTAGCGTAACAAAAGAAAAATAACTAAAAATCTAATCCCCTGTGCCAGTACTCTTTTTTTGTTAAATACATTAAATGTTATGTAACGGTTTAACTAAACAGCATAGTTAAATGTCAAAAAGTTGTTATTGGTTGCCATGACAACGTAAGGTAACGTAAGGTTGTTGATCGCTTTAACTTTGTAATGTTGGTTGTGCTACAAAAATAGTATAACTACACAAAATAAGAAAGCTTCACGGGAAATATACCCAGCCGGTTTGGCGCCTCAGTCCGCCGATTCGGTAAACCATGTCAATAAGATTTCTTAGGCGCCTGTACCCATAACGCGTGTACAAGGAAACGAAAAAGTTTCACCGCGTCAATATTCGTGAAGATTTGATAGCGGCCCATGACTCAACCGTTCCCGTACCAACCGTAATAAACCAAACGTCTGTTGGCTCGATTAATCTCTCACAATGTTTGATCATTAAAATACGCGAAAACCGTTTAAGCCGCCGGCCGGTTTGTGTTTAGGAACGAGGTACACAGTCGCATCACCTTACTCATCACCTTATAGTCTTGAGACCGATTGCCGATTCAAATTAGAAAAAAAATATGTGTATACTTATCTACGAAAGTATAAGGTATACTTCTTTAGCGTAACAAAAGAAAAATAACTAAAAATCTAATCCCCTGTGCCAGTACTCTTTTTTTGTTAAATACATTAAATGTTATGTAACGGTTTAACTAAACAGCATAGTTAAATGTCAAAAAGTTGTTATTGGTTGCCATGACAACGTAAGGTAACGTAAGGTTGTTGATCGCTTTAACTTTGTAATGTTGGTTGTGCTACAAAAATAGTATAACTACAAAATAAGAAAGCTTCACGGGAAATATACCCAGCCGGTTGGCGCCTCAGTCCGCCGATTCGGTAAACCATGTCAATAAGATTTCTTAGGCGCCTGTACCCATAACGCGTGTACAAGGAAACGAAAAAGTTTCACCGCGTCAATATTCGTGAAGATATTGATAGCGGCCCATGACTCAACCGTTCCCGTACCAAACGTATAAAACCAAACGTCTGTTGGCTCGATTAATTCTCACGTCGGCAACGTTAAATTTGTACCGGTCCGCGATCTAATCGATTACGCCCGTAAATCAATGTTTGATCATTAAAATACGCGAAAACCGTTTAAGCCGCCGGCCGGTTTGTGTTTAGGAACGAGGTGCGAAGAGGTCTAACGGTTCCAGCCGAGATTGTGTAGCTCCGAATTGCAGGAATGGGTGGTAGAGTCGCGTTGTAGAGACGCGTTGGAAGGTCGTGTAGAGTCGCATTGCATCAGAAGCTAGTCGGTTTCAGAATGAGATTAAAGGAAAGCGAGATTCCTTTTGTTGAACGATACAAGTATAAACAGTTCGTAGTAGACAAGATCTCCACCAAACCTACTTGGAAGCAATAAATGCTTTTGCACGTCAACGTTTTATAATGTAAAATAAAACTGAATCATCATGCATCATACAGCAATCAAAACCCCGCAGTTGTAAAGTCAACGGCCTTAATAAATAATATATTTAATGCGACATTTAAACACATGAATTAATTTCATACTCATGTTTTCCAGTATTTGACCATACTATATATATATATATATATATATATATATATAGTTATATATTGAAAAATTCAGCAACTTTGACCACTTCATTTGGATCTCGATCAAATATAACGATTACTCTGTTGGCAGTGGAGATTAAAAACCACAAATGTGTACATACAGGATTTATAGAAAATTTTGCACTGCTCGCGAAGGCTTCACTCGAGAACTCATAATGGAAACGTGTTCACAATGAGCCGCATAAATCTAGTCACCGATAAGTTTTTCCAGCGGCGAACCGAGAAAAAGGTCCGTGCTACGCCGTGATAGACCAATAAGTTTCCATATATAAGAGCGTGACAGGAATGCTAGCTTTTAATTACCTATACGTACATATGAATTCGAGAGCATTGCTCCCGTTGTACGAGATTGACGTCTTTTTCTACGTCGCAGCGGCCATTTTAATTTTCTTTACGATCCTACCAGATCGCCTTTTTATTTAATTACCCGCCAAAGCGCTATCACGGCGCGTTTGTTCAACGCCACTCTTCCATGTTTTTATCACCTCGCACCCTTATCCATCTAGATCGCGTTACGAACGGCTTAATTCCATTTTCACGCTGAATTCCGTCTCGTATATTAACTTTTTGAAAAAAGCCACTTTCTACACTTAATGTTACATATGCACGAAATTCATGTGCAAACTAGCAACCTGTATAATATATATAAAACATAAATTAAATACTTTACACCTAATATTTTGCAGTAGATGTGCCTATCACACATAAACTAGTTGTAGTAATGAGATAATTAATAGATCATTCTACACTTCGTTTAGTTTCATTGTATTTATTCACGGGTTTTATAAATGCAGTTAGAATTACTTTAAAAAACGACGAAGGATGGAAAAGCGCTCGTTTTGCATAAACATATGTGAACAGACCGTAATTTGCTTTTAGATTATATACATCTCTTTATTTATGAAAATAAAGAGGAGAATATATACTCCTGCATAGATCCTATCGTATAATATACATCCTGTCGTATAAGTAAAGAATATATGAATCAATGAGATCTATACAATATGAGCTTAATGATGGTTATGAATATGAGTGCATGATTAAAGCCAATCAATTTTAAACGAAGTAGATTTCCTATTACTATGAGAAATATACTTAAGCCCACTGACCTTCTATTAATGGAGTATGTACTTGGATTTAAATATTGTTTAAAAATGTATTTTCAATTACGATGAAATATCAAAAAACCACTACATAATACTAGGTTTAAAAGAAAAGAAAAAGTATTTTTAAATGTAATCAACATTCTTCCATTAAATTTCACCATAAGCATATATCGATTAGTACATAGATCCATGTATTGTCACCAAAGATATTGTAAATGTGAAAAAATAAGCGGAAAGTGGAAATAAATGATCTACGTCAAGTGAAAAATTTCTGTGCACTTATTTTTTTAATTAAAATAGTAACAATACATTACTTAGGTATATCAATGGAAGACAATGATAACTATATAAAGTATAAGCGCAAAATATTAAGTCATAATTATAATGGCGAAACCAGTTCGTTCGTTTTTTATTTCTGGACACTTTTTAGCACGCTCGCGTATCGACTTCGGGTCATACGCGCCCGATACCAAACAGAACCGCGCACCGGCACATGTCGATGAAAACGTCGAAATGAAGTCCTTTCATACCGCATTTATTTTTTCCCCCACCCGATGATGACCGCTGAGGATTTCGACCGCGGGCTCGGAACGAAACGATTCATTATGCAACCGGGACAACTTCCAGTGCGCCGCGTCGGATTACATTACGCGCTAACCTCTGTCCTATTCGCGACCAGCCAGTGCGGGCCCGTCGATGTACGTACAGGCTGGCGATTTTCGACAGCCCTCGAGAGACCAAACAGAGCGATAATAACGATGACAACGAAAAACTAGTCTCCGCTCCTTACGAGAGCCACCCGTAGGGATGCCTCGCTACGAACATTTTTTCCGCTACAGTTCACCCATTTAAAGGTTCCGAGTAATGTATATTTATCGCAGGTAAAGCTTAGCGTCTATTAACAATGAAATACAGGCAATCAATTCCGTTTTTCAACACGGATTCGTACCTAGTACTCAAGTTAATTACTTATTGGAGATAATTTTGCTACATTGATACAGAGTCGACAACTCGTTCCAGCCGATGTACTTTGGATCGCCACAACTCGACACGTTAACGCAATACGACAAAAGGGCTCAATGAGAAAATAATCACACGGTGCAAATATAAATGTTTTAAGGCGTTCCACAACGTTGACAGCTCACTTATTCCTAATTCCTATCGACGTGCGCGGGACCCGAAGCCGGCCATTATCTTATTTGGGTCACTTGGAAGGACAAAGATCCCGCGTCGATTCGTTCTTATTTCAAAAATCGTCGGCCGCGCCATTTTCATATTGCCAAGGCCGAGATCAAAGGGGCCGGGCGATGATTCCAAATGCCCGCGCATGCACCGCCAAAGGTGGTCGACCCGCGAGTTAGCTAGTTTTCGATTGACACGCCGGAAACCGCACGCGAACGCACTGTTTCGACAGAAACTCATAAATTCGACCGGTAGGCGGCCGGTCGATTTCGTTTTGCGACGCCGACGAGACGCCCCGTCCGCCCGCATCCGCGTGCTGTATTCAAATCAATTAACGGAATTCATTAATTATGTACGGGTAACGAGAAAAATTTAATAATCGATTACTAAGCGCATCCCAATACGAATAAATCAAATGTGAATGTTATTTTTCTCTTTTATTCCGTTGAATTATTTCACTGCCTCCGTTATAGCTTGTAATGGCGGGTAAAAGGAAGGATCATTCAGCTAATTTCCTCACCGCCGACGTCCACAGATCCAGCGCATGCAACACAAGAGAGTGTTGTTTTTTTTTTCTCCCGCGCTCGATATCGTCCATTATTTTATCTGTTGTGTGATTGTCGGTTGCGTTGTATCGATGCGAAATTTATGATTTAATTGGCGTCCGCGCTTTTTGTGCTGGGAGCAACGGACGCGACGCCATATTGTAATTCGACGGTGTTTAATAAGAGAAATGGTTCACAACGGTCGAAAAGAAGTTATTAAATTAAAGTTATAAAATTATCATTGTGCAATCAAACTCCTCTCTATTATCATCGTGACTGCGAACTTATTAGTCGACTTGATTTCCTGTGCCTCTATTGAAGCATCTTTATTAAAATGATATAAATGAAATCTAATAAAACGACTCCATAAGTGAATTCTCCATTATTCTGTATTAAAAGCATTTATTCATTATATGTTGACATCGTATGATGTCAATAAATATTGTTTACGTTATAAATAGATACGCCGTAGGTAAATTCAAATTAAACTTACACAAACGTAACAGTTTTGCGATTTTTCAAAGTTCTCTTCGTAATTCATACGAATGCTGAATAATAAATCGATTATGCAAAACGAACATCGCCTCTACATGACAGCGGCTGAGACTATCGTCTTTGTTCAATGGCACCATATACGCATAACGATTTTTTTTTTATATTTAGACGAATACTACGTTGTTAGTGTAAAAATATACAATGAATATAATATCTCGTGTCTTTAACGTTAACAGACTTCATGGTATTTTCTTAATCCTGTATTTTAAATTTCGAATAATTTTCGCTCATGAATTTATCAAAACAGCGACACGTACATGACATTCGGCCGTTGTTCACAACCGTGCTCAGAAACTGGAATTGGATTTAACAGGCATTCACTAAACTAACGACCAGTAAAAATATGTGACTACACTTCACATATAACTGAATTTAATTTGATGTTAATCAGAGTGCGGTGGTGTGGTGGTGGTTGTCGGTACAGTCGCCAGCAAAATCTATAAGCTATAACGAACAATGCTGCTACACGAGGCTATAAACCAAGGCGAGTCCGAAATATCTTTACATTAGTGCACCGTGAGCGAAGCGGGCCGCGGTGGGACATTATCGAGGCGATAGTCCGCGCACATAACTAAGACTCTCCGGTCCTATGCGATGAGATAGTACTCGGCGGAACTGTACCGCGACGATACCGAATATCGAGTGAGTTATATTGGCATACGGCTGGGGTGACCGAGCCGAGTCCAAAAACCTAGAACGTCCAGTAGCGACACAGCCAAAGGTCCTTACGAAACTGTACAATTCTATAAAAATATAGATTAAGATTCATGACCAGAGTTTAGTTCAGGACGAATTCACATTATCATTTTCGGTTTACGATGTTAGCCACGTTTTACTTACCTCTGTCAACACCTGTCGATCATAGAATAAATATATCCTTTGAAGTTGTTTTCTACAAAAACTTGAATATTATATTACTAATAATTACAAATTGTTCGTTTTATTTATTTAATTTTTATGAACAATAAATCATTATACAGTAGCGAACGGAATTCAAACGTCATTTTCCATCGGCAAATATAAGCGTGTAGTTAAGAATACATATATAAACGCAAAAAATACAAGTGAGTAAACATGTAATTCATTCACAAAAAGGAAATCAAATCGGGACTTTCCACAGCATCTCAGTACAAATGGTGCCCCTACACGTAACGCCAGTCGATAAATCGGGGATGCGTGTGATTGCGTCCGTTTATTTCTTATTATATTCCTGTTAAAAGTTTGCATGTTCATGTTTCATTGGAGCTTTAGATATGCTATCTATCAAGCGGATAATGCATTTCAGTTTCTCTTTCACCGATACGTTTCCCTTTAAGAGCCTCTATGTTTATTTTTACAATCAAATGTAACCTTTTTATTATACCATCGTGTTAGCGGGTATACAAAATGTATTGTAAGGTACAGTCGTGATCTAAAATTATCCGAAAATGTACTTGATTATGTTAATGACTGTGTTTAAATTATAGACTTTTGCTCGGTTTGTTGCTCAACCTTTTATAGTTTGAATTTCAAGCGATACGGTCTTGTCCTAAAGCATATTCGTAAAATGAATTTATCGTAATAAATTTAACTTAAATAAAAAATTAAGACACTCAGTTAGTTAATATGATCGCTTAAGATAATGCGCGTTCATTTCAGCGTGTAAATATCTTGGTTCCATACCGAAATGAAAACTAATCACATCAATGTATAGGATGGAAGTGACGACCCGATTGGCGTAGTTAGTAGTGACCCTGCCTCTTGCGCTAGAAGGTGTGGTTTCGATCCCCACTACTGGAAAAATATTGTGTGATGAACATGTTTTTCCAGGGACTGGGTGTTTATGTACATTGTATGTTTATCAGTTATCTTGTAACTAATTACAAGCGTTGCTTAGTTTGGGACTAGAAAATGTTGTGTAAAAATGTTTCCTGTCCTGCAAAAAAAATTTTATGTAAAAATTATATAACATTACTGCTTATAACGAAGTCTCTGATAATATTAATTCACACACTTACAATTTCAGGACTTTTGAGCACTAAGTTCTATCGTAAATCACATACACATACATAGATATATACAAATGCAGTCGGGCGTTGGATCAAAGCCACAACGTTCAAAACTAATCTATTTCACGTTTTGTCTTTAATCTTAAACGACGAGCAGAATTTTTTTTTTCATTTTTCCAAATTTCATATATCTATTCATAAAAGGATTTCGCGATGAAAAGGGACATTGTACACCATAAGGAAGCATTAAAAAATCAATAAAATTATTACCACATAAACCCCATGGAGGCCGTAAAAGACGTATCCACGAAATGAAACGCGACGTGAATGCGTTGTAAATCCGAACGAGATACGACGATATACCGAATCAATATATTCTAGAAATTCCCAACTTCGGGGTCTATTTGCATGAATTTACGACGGCGATGTATTTATACCGTTTTTGATGGTCGGGTTTATAGAAATGTTCCCGGAAAGGCTAGACGCTTTTCGCGTTATTGCAATGGCGCGCCGTTTTAAATCAAATCCAAGTGTAATAATATTAAAATATAAATTCAGCCCATTAATATTTTCACATTATGTATATTTCTCTAGGTCCATATACGGCCATATGTACTTCACAAGTTTCAAAGTCACAGTAATGTTTATCATACGTAGAACGGGACAAATGTACGAATATTCATCAAGCCTCGGACATCCATCCTTAGCAAGGAAGCCACAAGAAACTAAACGATCAGATACATATTATTTCAAAGAAATGTTATGGATAAATCTAATCCCAATTTTATAATAAGTTTCAACAAGAAACTTACCTTACGTAATGTCCTTATCGAAATAATAATATTTATCAAAAATACAATTTATTAAACAATAAACTTACTTAAAATGTAAATATTTTCGAAATAATATTCATCGGCGTCGAAGAAAATGATAACATAATTACTATCGTGCTCTCATATAAGCGATTCATACGCTTTCTTCTTTTATAATGAGCCTCCACACCTATTTGTCTACAGATCCAAAAAAGGAAACTGTTCTCTTTTTAAATAGCACGTCTCAGATATCCACAGGGTTGCCACTACATTTCTCATTAAACGTGTACAAGCAAGTCGTCGCGCGCAATCCATCATTAGGAGCGGGCGAACGCGGACAGCCCTATAATTTCCCCTCCCCTCCGCCCTGCCCTCCCCCGTCGCCCGCGCAGGAGTAACGCCCCGTCTATAATAAAAGAAGACGTCCGCGCGAGATGAGTTTCGTCAAAAAAATATTGGCGCTGTTGCATTTTATATTTGCAATGTTTGGACGAAATTAACTGCTTTTTTCGTGACCCCCGAATGCGAGGTACCGATTGGCCGCGGTGTGTTTCGGAACGCAGCGACATACGAATCGTTCCGTAATGCGTTTCATAAAAAAAAATTAACGGAAAGAGCTGAAATTGTAAATGATTTCAATAATAAATCATCTTATGAAGCACCACACGAGTGAGTTTCCCTTTCGATACATAGATACATTGATACCCGTGACTCGGTGGTTGCCAAGCTATTGGCTTCAACACCTTGGATTCCTACACGAAATAAGTATTTGTGTAAACCACAGAAAATCGTTCCGTCCTGACGAATTCTAGAAAAGGATTAGAAAGAGAGAAATGTAAGATGAAAATCGAGTCTACTCAACACTACCTTACTTATAATTATCTTCTTTTACTTAATCTAATGCTATGAGCTGTATTGTGCTGTGTGTCTTTTCCCAACGAGGTTTGACGGCAGACAAGCGGCCGGTTTTAACCTAGCCAAAACCACTGGGAACATTTAAAATAAGATGGCGCGGCAACTTATTTTGTTTTTAATTGTAAAATTGATTCGCAATTTTCTGCAATATCAGAATGCGCTGTACGTATGGAGACCTACGAATTATCGATGCTCGACTATCGATTATCGAGGTACAATCGATACTCGATATTATGTATGGTATCGTAATTGAGCCGGCGTTAATTTCACACTCCATCCTTTTGATAAACTCGTTCTGACAACTGTCGCCGTAAAGCTGTAGGCAGTAAAGTAAATAAAACCAAAAGGTAAAATTACAATTAAAAAATAACGTAATCAAACTATTTTGGCGGGATAACCAAATTGAATACATTATTTTTTTTATCAAAAATATTACTATACGACATACACGATAAGGTTATAAGTATAAGATATATGTATTTATAGTAAAAAAAGAACTAGAAATACCTATATATACGAACGGGATTTCATACGGCTGTCAACTTTTCCAATAATGCATGCCACAAGAATCCAGGCAACGACCTCATCGAAGATTGAGCCTAGAGTGTAAAAATATCCTCCGAAAATTCGCCAAGCCACTATAAACTTTAAAACCAGTGAGGAAAGTGCAAGTTGTTACACAATTATTAAATGAATAGGTTCACATTAAACTTGATTCGCGCGTAATACCCAATCATATTATACTATAAAAGAGTTATTCGATTAATTTCGCCGCATATGATATTTTTTCCATTTTATTTTATACATAAAAGCAATCAAGCATCGTGTCGTGTAGTCTTTAAATCTGGTTATAATTTTATTCTGCAGACGTTATAGAGATGTTAATTAAATTAAATTTTCACAAAATGACATGATGTAATTATAACTTTTTTTATTTACTAGTTGAAATTAATTAGAAATAAACAGTTTACAATAAATAGATTTATTATTCATTTCCAAAGAATATGGAGGAATAATAAAGAAACATTATTGTGAAGCATAAATAAAAACAATAACTAAAGGTTCAATCCGAGGGCATACGAACTTTTATTGTGCAATTATGAGTTCATTTTACTTTCCATAATTAATTTCATGTAATCAACAATGTACCTTCATCAATAAACCAACCTAAGAGACATCCGGCGGATGAATTTGAAATTTAAAAGAAATATGCACACTACAGATAACATTATCCGCATTTTATGCGATTCATTCATCCCGGAACTGCGAGATACAATGTCGCCGTTTCGAATTGCGCAAATTATTAAATGCACTTTAAAATTTTATACCAGCAACCGTTATTATGGCAACCCCGAGCCGGTGCGTTTGCATATCTAAGGACGATGAGAGCACGCGGTTCGATTAAAACGCTAACAGACCGTTAATTACCGGCGGGCTATCGATTCTATTATTAACGTTTTATCGGCGAAAAAAAAAGTTCGCTTCGATATTTGCAACATTCGATAAGAAATGATATTACCAAGTGCGGCGGAACCTTCATAAAATATATTGTAAAGTCAGTACCGCCCTTTGGGTATTTGCGATTAAAACTACGTTCGTACTAAAATGTCATAACTTGTAATATGCTATTGATTATTCAATTCCAAGTTAAATGTGCTTGTTTCAAAATCAGAGATATGGTCACTGTATTCTTATTAATAAGAGATAAGTTACATTCGTAAATAAATAAATTTATTTATAATCTTTGACAAAAAATTCAAATAATGATTTTTGTGAATTCCACACATCGTAAGTTGAACTGACAAATAATAATTAAATGAAAATTAATTAACTGCATGTGCCGCCATCTTTCAATAAAGTAATTAGAAAACGCCTCAAAAATTGCCTCCTTTAGCTCTTTACGTCCAATGACTATTAATTGATAGTGGCCAAGCTACGACCAGTTTAAAAAAAAGCGTTTATTTCAAGAACTGAGCAAGTTGTCCTAGAACACTGAACACGGGACGCTAATGACCACCATGTTTGGCCACCACGTACAACTGGCCATCCGGAGATTGCGCCATTTTGATGGGATTGTCAGTCCTACATGTGGTCCTACGCTTACGCTTTCAGCGAAAAACGTTGATCTCTTGATCGTATAAAAGCATTCAAATGTGTGTTCCTCTTTTCATATTCTACCAATTAATACACTAATTAATTGGTCAAATTATTCAATTGATTTTTTTTTATTAAAAAAATAAAATTTTCAATTATCGGTATGTAAATCGGTCGAGGATATAGATACATTACAAGGACACAACTGTTAGTTTAAAAAATTTCAAACTTTTCAACATTCAACGCATTGCCAGCCAGCACAATAAATAACATACCACATTAGGGATGCAAGTATGCAAATGTCATAGTGGTATTAAGTCGTAACTTTCCGTATGCAGGATAATTACGCGGGTTTTTGTCTCTATAGGCTCTTTTACAGCCGCCATCTTGGAGTTTTTCCTTACATTGATAATATTGAGATAGAGAACTTAGTAATTTGCCACCAGGATATCTATTAGGATAAAAATAGAACATTCCTATCAATCATCATGTAGAGCTGGGTTCAATGGTATTTGTAGTAGATATCTTGAAAACCGATTTTCAAATCTGGCATGTGCCCAATGTGTTTTTGTGGAGACAAGAACTGAGTGTACTTTAGCGGCAGTAACTAAAAGTTAATATGTAGAAGACTACTGTACTACTTACTGCCTACTGCTACTACTTATAACAACTACATTTCTATCTTATTATCTGTGTTCTTGTTCTATCACTGTATGACATGAATTAGTAAGCTTTAACTCATTCAAAAGCAAGTTATGACGGACATCTTCGATACTACTAACGAGTTCTTTTAAAACATCCAACGAACGAGCAACAAACAAAATAACAACTATAAGACATGAGAAAAAGAACCTTCAGTTAATTAGCATGTCGTTTCAAAACCAAAAGGATAAAGGATAAAAGTTATAATCACTAAAAATATCCCAACGAATAACTAGACGCCTGAGCAGCTCTTCCAAGATGGCCGCCGCCTCAACACCGAGGCCCGCTGACAACTTTGGACGCGGCTTGCCACGTGCGAACTCAAGTAAATGACGAGTTAAATGTATTCTCTTTTAGGGATGTCAAATAATTAATTTCAGAAAAACTATATGAACGATTTAATACAATTTTTACATTGCTCCCACCAACAACCTTACCTCTATAAAAGCTGCGCATTGTAATGAATGGAGCAGCTCGACATCCCACAGACGTAAATAAACAAAATGCATGTAAACATGTGACCAATGTAATAAACTTTCAATTAAGGGCATACCGACTCATAGGAACGTGTTTCACAGCCCTAGGTGGGTAAAAAGCACAGGGTCTGGCCTGTGGGAATGTATCGGGTAATGCAATCTTTTTGCTGAGCGCATTAGCCGTCTACTTCAATACTGCCAACCGCATTACATTCTGAGGGACATTCCGCCTATATTTATATGTCCAGGGTGGACAATAAAAACTGTAATAACGATTGAGATGTTATGCGCTTTGTTTGAAAGGCGGTCCAGATTGGATTGATGGCTACTCTAATGGTGACTCGGGTTTAATCCACAACCAAGCTTATTATTAAAATGTACAAATTTTATGAAAGATTACCCAAAATAATTGCAATTAACACAATTGTATGAAAATACATGTTAATAAAGTCGAAAATTCTAATTTATTCACCGTTTACTCAATCTTAAAATAATAAAATACGTCAGTGTCCGTGGTATAATTATATTCAGTGAACTTGTAACCCCCATATACAACATTGAATATGGCAGACATGCGCAAAAATAAGTTGAAGGTAAACACACACCCGTAATAAAGCGGGAGCGTCCAATGAAAGCAAAACTTTAAACCGCCAACTGGCCTCGGCCATTGCGGAACTTGTTATTTGAAATAAAAAAAATATTAATTCAACTTTAATGAAAGTCGATTATTAAACATTAAACTACTACAAGACTACATACGTTTCTTCTTTTTCTTTCTTTATGGCTCTTTGAAGAACTCTGCCAACGTCAATTCAGTCACGGCGACTACTCTTATGTGCAACAAATAAGACAATGCCGTTTAGAACAGGTGAGGAATAAAACAATAACAAAATCCTTGTTATTCAGAAGATGCCCACTGCAAAATGTCGTGATATCTGAATATACTTTACGTCGTATACTTTTGCCGACATAAATATGTATTAAATTGTAAAAAGAATAGAAACCCATACTATTGCGTTTTTTTCATATTCGCCGATGAACATTAATACCCAGTTTAATATAACAGGTAAAAACATAAAACGCATCAGCGAAGCCATCATAGACTTGTTTTAATTTGCACAGAGTATACGCCCCTTATAAAATATAAATCATATAAATGAGCCGACCGTGCATAATCGATCAAGCATTTTACAGTCCACGGCATTTTA